CGGGGGGCGGCCGGCGGGCGTGCTTCTGGAGGCTGCGGAACCCCCCAGCGCCTGCTCACGCCGTGGGGCGGGCAGTCCCCGTGCGGGTCGCGCTGCCCCCCGGGTGCTGCCTGCTTCCCGGGCTCCTGCGGCCGAGGGCACACAGCGAGGGCACCGGCCGCCTGTGCTGCCCTGGGGCACGGCCCGTCGCTGGCCCACGAGGCTGTCCCTCCAGCCTGGCGCTGGTCAGCTGACATGGTGCTAGCCTGGGCCCCTGGCCCACAGTCCCACTACCCGTGGCCTTGGGCATGGAGCCTCCTGCCACAGGCTCTGCCCCTCCTTGCTGCAGGATCCACATCATGGCCGGGCGGGTGCCCGAGGGTGCAGACCGGGCGGCGCTGGCTGCAGAGATGGAGGCCACCTTCGTTGAAAACCTGCGGCACGCGGCTGATGTCCTGGCCCAGGTACTGGTCCCAGCCCCAGCCGCAGAGCTGCCTGGTGCAGGCACGAGGGTAGGGGAGGGACGGAGAATGGTGGGGCAGCCCCTGACCTGCAGCTCTGGCTCTGGCTCCAGGAGGACATGGTGGGGCTGCTGGAGCCGATCAACACCCGCATTACTGATCCCCGCTACTTCCTGAGCACGACCCAGCAAGGTGAGCAGCTGCCCTCACCCAGGGCATGGCCCGGGCCCTGGCTGGACCAGCCTGACTTGCTCCCCTCTCCCCTCCAGCCGCTGCCATCCTGAAGCAGGTGGGACGGCCCAACCTGAAGCTGCAGTTGGTGAGTCACCTGCTGCACCTCCATGCCCCTCTGGTCCTGGGGCATTGGGTGCTGTGGTGAGACTTGTAAGCTGTAGGCAGCCATCCCGGTCCATCTGCCCAGGGTCTGGGCTCAGGCCTCAGGCCCAGCCTGGCTCCCAGGGGCTGGTGCCAGTGCCTGTGGATGGGAGCCTGGCGACCCCTGCTCGCCACAGTAGGAGGCATGGCCAGGTGCAGCTGCCTGGTGCCTGCCCACACCCTGGCTCTTGCCTGCAGGACATCTTCCACTGCCAGATTATGGAGGGGAACCTGACACGCACCCTGGAGACCTATTTCCCCCTCGTTGGTGAGGCTCCCCCGCAACAAAGGACCAGGAGGGAGCTGCCCCTTCGCAGCAGGGCTGCAGGGTCCAAGTGGGGGCTGCCACCTATGACAACGTCCCTATAGCTGCTCCCATCTGCTGCCACAGGTCACATGCAGATCGCGCAGGTGCCAGCGCGGCAGGAGCCTGACAGCCATGGGGAGGTGAACTTCCCCTACCTCTTCCAGCAACTGGAGTTGCTGGGCTACACGGGCTATGTGGGGTGCGAGTACACCCCGCGAGGTGAGTGGGCCAGGTGCAGGGGTCTGCTACCCTGTCCTGGGGCCCTGTGCCCCATGGGAAAGACCCAGGCAGAGGGCAGACGTGTGTAGCTGGGGCAGCAGCTCCTGGGGTCTGTCAGGCAGGAACGTGGCAGGGGAGTTGGCAGCAAGAGCCAGGCCTGTCCAGCCTGTTCCTTTTTGCGTGGAGGGAGGTGCTGCCCAGCAGGCGGGAGCAGGCAGGGGGGTGCCCATGGCCATCGTGCATCTCCTCCTTGTTGCAGGTAACACGGTGGAAGGACTGGGCTGGCTGCGGGAATACTGGCAGAGCCGGGGCCTGGAGCCTGGTGGCAGCACACCATAGGGGCTGGTGGCCAGGGCCCAGGCCCACCGTGCTGCAGGCACAGGCAGAGGAATAAAATGCAAGCAAACACTGGGACTCAGGAGCATTTGTCCTGGGCACGGCTGGGGTGGGGGCAAAGCCAGGGTGTTCCTATCACTGCTCTTGCACAACAGGTGCCAGTGGAAGGCTTTGCACTGGGCAGCGCGGTCCAGACCACCAGGCAGAGCTACCTGGTTGCCTCCCAGGGGGTGGTGGAACCTATAGGAAGCCCCAGGCCTGGTGCAGGCCCCTAACCAGGCCACACTCATCCCCACATGGGTGGGCAGTCCCTGGCCCAGAACCAACTCTTGGCAGCATCCAAGCCCTGCTCTGCTCCTGGGCCACTTCACCCTTGGCCCTTGCTGTAGGGAGCTGCTTCCCACAGGGCCCTGGAGCTGGCAGCCTGTGTTTGAGGGCCTCAGGGCTGCTGGGGCCAGGACAGGCTGCCCGCTCCCTGCCCTGGGGAAGCCCCTCCATGCACCCCCACCAATGCTGCTGTGGTCACAGCCCCCACTCCTGAGCCATATCAGCAGCAGCTCAGCTTAGTCTTACCCCAGCTGCTGCCCCCACCACTGGGCTTGTGCCTCGGGTGGAGGGAGCCAGGGCTGAGGTGGGTGAATGGTTGCAGGGCACTGGCCCTCCCAGCTGGGAGGCGAGTGGCTGCTCCTGCAAGCTCTGGGCCCCTCCTGCCATGGCAGAAGTGTGAGTCAGAAGCAGGTGCTGTCTGCTGCAGTTTATTGTAGATACCCCCATGCTGCTCTTTGAAACAGCCTAGTGCTGCCTGCCCCTACAACCTGCCGGTGCCAGCACAGGGTGGGCAGTGACCCAGGCAGCCCTCATGGCTCCGCTCCAATGTCTCAGGGAAGCGCTGGCCTGGGCTGAAGCTGCAGTGCTCCACATCACCATGTGCGTGGCAGGGACAGGTACAGTCACATTGGTGGCAGCTCACCAGCATGCCCGTGGCTGTGCCGGGTCTGTGGCCCCAAGATGGCTCTGCTGCATGGCAGCTATGACCCCTGGGGCCTCCCTGCATTTTGTGTGTCCGTTCCCAGTCTGTCCTGCATGTCCACATGCAATGGCAGCCGCCCGCGGCCACAGGGAACACCCCAGGGGGCTGGCGTTGGCTGAGGCCTGAGGGGCAGCCAGGCTCCCTGCACCCCTCAGCCCCAGGTTCTGCCAGTCCCATGCTGCCACTGTTCTCCTGGTGTGCACAGGAGCTGGCCTGGGGCTGTGTCCTGCTCTGAGGCGCTGGCATGAACGTTACAGCAGCCCAGTCCAAACATTGAAGCAGGCGGTGTTGATGACAGACTCCAGGTGATGGTACGTGGACACCAGCTGCGGCAGGGGGCTCTCGCTGTCCTGGGGTTGCACAGGGAACGGCTCCCGGAAAACCACCGTTAGGCTCTGCTGGGCCAACAGGCTATCAGGAGCTGCCCTGGCCCCCAGCCTGGCAGCCTGCTGGGCAATGCAGCAAGCCAAGGTGGGGACGGCCTGGCCCCCAGATCCAGTGCTGAGAGGGGCTGCAGGACATCTCGGCTCAAGGCTGACTCCTCAGAGGAGGAGCAAGTCTGAGCTTCTAGCCTGCTCCGGGGCAGTACCCGATGCAACTGAGCTGCCTCCCTTGTCCTTCCTTGTCAATGCCATGAACATGCTGCAGGCCCTTTCACCCAGCTGGGCAGAGCCCTCGCGCCCTCCCCTTCCCCCAGCACGGCTCCTAAGCGGCCATGGGCACCCAGCTGTGGCCACAGTCTGGGCAAGGTCTGACTCTGTCTAGGCCCCTGCCCAGTGCAGGCTGAAGCATAGCCAGCTCTTACCGTCTTTCCTGAGTGCGAGTCAAGGAAAATGAGGATGAAGCAGTCAGTGAACTTCTGGTTGAGCACCACCTGCCAGGGAGATAGGGGTTCATTGTTTCATAGATGCTCAGGTGGGAAGGGACCTCAACAGATCGAGTCCGACCCCCTGCCTAGGCAGGAAAGAGTGCTGGGGTCAGGTGACACCAGCCAGATGCTGCCTATCCAGCCTTCTCTTAAAGACCCCCAAAGTAGGGGAGAGCACCACCTGCCTTGGAGCCCATTCCAAGTTTTGGCCACCCTCGCTGTTAAGTTTTTCCTGATGTCTAGCCTAAGTCTGCTCTCTTGTCAGTTTGTGACCATTGTTCCTTGTTACCCCAAGAGGCGCCCTGGTGAATAGAGCATCTCTGATCCCTTGCTGCGTCCCCCTCATGAATTTGTAGGTGGCCACAAGATCCCCTCTCAGCCTTCTCTTGGGGAGGCTGAAGAGGTCCAGGTCCCTCAGTCTCTCCTCATAGGGCTTGCTCTGTAAGCCCCTAACCATACAAGTAGCCTCCTCCGGACCCTCCCGAGTCTATCAACATCCTTCTTGATGTAGGGCACCCAAAACTGGTTGGTGCAGTCCTGCCTGGGATTCATAGCTGGGGGGCTGCCTGGCAGGGACGTGCATGCAGGGTACAGCTGCCCAGGGCCATGGGTCTGGGCAGGGAAGGAGCCGTGGCACCACACGCCCTTACCAGGTACTGGGTGCCGGTCTCAGCGTTGAGGAAGTGGCGGCAGCTCTGGGGGAAGCGGCTGAGCAGCACCTTGATAAGGCTCTGGTACCACGATGCCGTCATGGTGAGGAAGCAGCCCTGTGGCACAGAGGGGGTGAGGCAGGCGCCGCAGCTCTCCTGGGCTGTGCCGCCCCTGCACCCCCACCCCCACCCCGGGACCACGCCATGGCCCTGCCACAGCGGGCGCCACATCGCTGGGCTGTGCCTCGGCCCAGACTCACCAGCTGGGGGTCAATGTCAGCGATGGACTTGCCGTGCACGGCGTTGAGCAGCTCCTCCAGCTCGGCCAGTGACAGCTTGCCCAGCTTGAGCTTGTCAGAGGCTAGCGGCTCCAGCAGGAAGAGGCGCTTCCACAGGTTGTCGCGGCGGCAGTGGCGCTTGGCCAGCTGCACCAGGCTGCTCAGCTGCTGCTGGGCCGAGGCCACCTCGGAGGCCAGCAGCGGGAAGAGGGGCGAGGTGTAGAAGAGCCCAGGGCCCAGCTTCGTGGGCGAGCCGCCCACGTAGAACTCGCCCCCGTCCTCCGCCTCCTGCCAGGACTCCCGCTCTGCTGGCTGCTGCCGCTCCAGCCCTGGCCCCGGCGCCTCCCCGGGTGCCCGGCCCACCACGGGCTCTAGCATGTCCCGCTGCAGGTGCGGCAGCTTCTTGAAGCGGCGCATGTCAGCCGTGAGCCGGGGGAACAGCTCCCGCTGGCTCGTCATGACCACGTAGAAGCACAGGCTGGGGTGGTGGATGCCATGAGACAGGAGGGGTCCTAGCCTGCCCTGTGCCCACAGCCCCTGCCCGCAAGGCTGCCCAGTTCCAGCCCGGCCCCTCTCCTGGCTTCCCCCCTGCCCAAGGCCAGGTCACTGCACCTTGCCTGCTGCCCATGGGCCAGCCAGGCCCTGGCCCCCGCCCTCACCGGAGCACGTGTCTCTCGGCCTCGCTCTGCTCCTCGAAGGGGGCCGCACTGTGGCACACCAGCAGGGACACGTCGAAGTCGTCGTGGTGACGCAGCCCCTCCGAGTCCTTGTAGGAGCCTGAGCTGCAGGCACAGATGGTAGGTCAGTGGGATGCTGTGCTTGGCAGCATCTTCCTCACCTCCCGGCAGCCCCAGCACCCAGGCGGGGCCAGGGCTCAGCACAGGACAACCTCATCAGTGCCAGCCTGGGTCAGACTAGGTGCCCACCCAGCCTGCTGGCCTGTCCCCAACAGTGCCCAAAGTGGACTTGCTAAAGGGGGACACTGAACCGGATCTCTAGTGATCTGTCCCGGGCAGCACCCTCTCTGGCACCTGGTGTATTGGGCTAGAGATGCCAGAGGAAGCGTCTCCAGCCGGTCTGTTCAACAGCCACGAACATGGCTCAACCATGAATTTAGCTCGTCCCTTTCTGAACCTGGCTGTGCTGTCTGCCACTGCCACCTCCTGCAGCAACAAACTCCATGAGTTAACTACACTGTGTAATAAAGCACTTCCTCGTTAGTTTTAAACCCATCACGCACGTCAGCAGCTACCCCTTAGTTCTGGCGTTCTGGGACCTGGCAAACAAGTTCCCTATTCCCTTGCTCCATCCACTCGCTTCACGGGTTTACAGACCTTGGTCCTCTTCCCCCTCAGCCTTCTCTTTTCCAAACCAGAGTCTCTTTTCAGTCTCTCCTGGTCCGGTAGCTGCAGGCTCCTGCTCCTCTTGGCTGCCCTGCTCTGTACCAATTCCATCTATCAGAGCCCCTGGGCTAGCCACTCACCTGTTCCAGATGGAGACCAGGGCATACTCGTTCTGCTCCGTGCCTGGGGGCCCCTTCTTGCCATCGCTGCCTCCCGCCGGCCGGGCCATGCGCAGGGGCTTCATGTGGTAAGTGTTGGCATGGTCAGCCACATAGTTGTAGAGCTGGTGGGCTGTGATCATGTTGGTGGGCAGGGCCAGCATGCCTGTGCCGGGGAGATGGGCAGACTGCTATGGAGTTATCTGCCATGGGCCAGGTCTGGCCACAGCCATCCACAACCAGCTGAAGTGCCAGCTCCACTCTCTCACTTGAGGGCACTCGCAGGCTGCACTCCTGCCCTCTACCCCTCCAGGGCACCCCAGCACCCAAGCTCTTCTCACAGAGGCCCTGGCTCCTCAGCCCCATCCAGCTGTGAGCCAGGGGTGCTAGGGACAGGTACACAGACCAGGTCTGGCCTAGCCAGAAACAGCCAGCAGCAGGGGCATGGTACCAATGGTCCCGTTGTTCCAGACAGGGGAAGGATCCGGCTGGGAGCTGTGCCCCTCCCCGGTCCCAACCAAGGGGAGGTCCTGAAGGTGGATGGGACAAGAGCACATGGGCCTGGGCTGCCACCCCGCTCACCCTGGAAGACGTGGTTGCGGCCGAACTTGGGGATGTCAGGGTGGTGGGCGATGAAGTCCTGCAGGAAGCTGGTGAGATGGTAACCCTGGCGCAGTGCCATGTGCGAGCCCAGCAGGTACTGGTGTACCACGCGCAGGTGGAAGTCATAGCTGAATGAGTGTACGTGCATGAGGTCCCGCACCTTGTCGCACTCCTCCGTGAAGAGCATGGAGAGCTGGGAAAGGACGTGATCATGCTAGGGGTGCCCCATACACCTGCCCCCTCAGCCTGGGCAGCAAACCAGGAGTAAGCAGGGCAGGCTGCACACACAGGGAGTTGCCCCCTCACCTCTCCTGTGCCAGGAAGGGCCTGGTGGGCACCAGGGGGTCCCTTCTGCCCAGGCTGCACTGCAGGGAGGGCAGAGCTGCGGGGCGGCCCTGGAAGTGACTGTGGCACCAGAAACATGCTGGGTGGTAGCCCCCAGCCCAGCAAGAGTCAGAGCAGCCTGGTGCCAAGCCCAGATGGTTGCACTGTCTGCTTGGCTCTGCCCCATGCACCCTGAGCCCTGGGCTCGGCCAGGCCCACTGGGGCAGGGGCCAGTGGAGATGGGGAACCAGAGCTGTGGATCCAGCAGGTGGTGGATCCATGGGAGGGAGGTGTGGATCCCCCAGGCCAGCAGCACACCAGGGCTATGGGCCAGAGTGCAGAGTACAGGCAGCTGGACGTGGCCTGCATATGACCCACTCCTATCTCACCAACCCTGCCCCCACAGCTGTGCCTGTAGGGCTGGGGCCCAGGCCAGTGCCTTGCTGCGCTCCATCACAGTGGCCTGGACACCCCCGGCAGGACGAGAGCGGGGTGCTGTCCTGGCTGAGACCAACGGGACCAGCCCCAGGCGCTGCATCCCTCCCTGCCCCAGCAAAGCTGCTGGCCAGGGCCGGCAACCTGACTTGCTGGAGGACAGATGGGCAGCAGGAGCTCTGCACTGCCCGTGACCCACAAGGCCGAGGGCTCCCCAGCAGGGAGGGCAGTGGGGGCCTTGCAGGGACCTGCACCCTGTGCCACCCAGCAGTGGCCGTGCACGCCAGAGCACAGCATGTTCCTTCCACCTTGCCCAGTCCCAGGAGGCAGGGAAGGGGGCCTCTTCAGCTCCCTGTCCCCACAGGTTGGGGGTGGGAGAGGAAGAACAAGCAGCCCAGAGGGACTAGGGTACAAGCAGCCCCATGCCCCTGCCTGCCGCAGGGCTGAGGCCATGGAGCCCTGGGCCCTGAGCTGGCTGCAGAGGTCACCAAGCAGAGCCAGAGCCCCATCCCAGAGGAGCGAAGCACCATCCCTGCCCTGTTGCTACTGCCCCAATGCCCCAGCCTGCCGAGAGCAGCACTGCCTCCTGCTGAAGAAGCCACCTGACACCAAGGAGCCAGAAACCTGCCCAGCACCCAGCACAGCCGGCACCCAGGTGCCCAGCCCTGCGTCAGCAGGAGGGGACATACCGCACACTCAGAGACGGAGCCGGGTCCCATGCAGCTCTGGCTGCGGGCTCTGGCTGTGAGAGCGCCCTGATGGAGAGAGGACACGCATGGCCGGTGGGGTGGGTGGGGTGCAGCTTGGGCCACGGGTACTCAGAGGCTGCGCTGCAGCTGCATGGGAAGGATCTGGCCTGGCAGAGGACTCTGTGCTTTTGCTTCTGTGCTGCAGGGGAGGCTGCAGCTCCCAGGAGAACCAGGCCATGTCCCACTCTGGTCCTGCAGCCAGAGTCAGGCGCTGCCAGGGTGACTGGCTCTCAAGCAGCTGCCTCTCCACGGGGCAGGACTGCCACAAACCCTTGGCCCCAGCCCAAATGAACACCACCCAAGTGTCCCTGCCCCTTGAATCCTCAGAAGCCATGGATGGTGTCAGCAGGGCTGCTGCAGCAGAGCCCTCCCGTCCTGGAGGTGGAGGCAGGCCTCTGGCCAGTCAGGACCTGCTGCACCTTGTGAGGTGGAGACAGCACAGGACTGAGCCCCGCAGCACGCCCTGGACCACAGCTGCCCAACATGTGGAGGCAAAGCCCCTACCTGCGAGTTCACCGTCTGGCCCATGGGGATCCGTGAGCACTCCAGTGCATACTGCTTCACGCAGAAGTAATAGCCCTGCAGAGAGAGCACTGTGCTGAGCATGGCCTGCAGGCACTGTGCTGCCCCTGCCACCCCAGCCTCAGCCCTGGGCAGAGCATTCAACTGAGCATGGCCTGCAGGCACTGCCCTGCCCCTGCCACTGCAGCCTCAGCCCTGGGCAGAGCGCTGCACTGAGCGCATTCTGCAGGCACCACACGGCCCGTGCCACCCCAGCCTCAGACCTATGAAGACAGCACTGTGCTGGCTGGCCCCTCAGGCCAGAGGCAGGGAGGGCACCCGGAGCCCATGCCACAAAGGCCATCTGCCCCAGCCCAGTGCTGCACCATGCACAGCTCTCCTAGGCCCCTTGCCCCGTACCTGGAATGCCAGCTCCATGAGCACGATCCCGCCAGGCAGGGCGCGCTGCAGGTGGTAGGTGGTGACAGGGGGGCTGGTGCTCTGGGGAGGAAAGGGCAGGGCTAAGCAGGACACCAGGGCCTGACTCAGCCTGCCTGGGAGAGGGCAGGGGTGTCTGCTCCCCTGCCCCCCACAGAGGCAGGCTCCATGGAGCAGGCGCCTGCCTCGGGCTTCACACAGCCAGAGAAGCATGAGCTGCCAAGCTCGCCAAGGGACATGCCCAAGCCCAGCCATAGGGGGTGAATCTCAAAGGGTCCCCTCGCCCGAGCTGGACATGCCTGGCTTTAGCCCTTCTCCCCCAACATGCCTGATCCCATCAGCAGCTGTCAAAAAGGCAAACATGTTAGGGATGATTGAGATGGGAACGAAACAAAATGGAATGGACTGTAATGCCACTTCAAAAACCCATGGGACAGGTGCACCTCAAATCCCGTGCCCAGCTGTGTGTCCCGCACCTCCAAAAGGAGAGAGAAGTAGAGACATCTAGAGAAAGGTAACAAGGATGCTGAGCACTTTGGAGGGGCTTCCCTAGGAGGATCGAGTAATGAGGCCTGGCCTGGTCAGTCTAGAAAGGAGATACTGGAGGGGGACAGAAGGGTTTGCAATGTACTAAATGGTGAGGAGAAAGCCCCTAGGGATTTGTTGCTGACCATCTCTCACCAGACAAGCATGAGGGGTCACAACAGGAAGGCAGCAAGTTTAAAACTAAGAGGAAGTTCTTTTCCACAGACTGTAACTTCAGTGGGGGACTCGTGGCCACCAGATGCAGTGGAAGCTGATGGTTTAGCCACATTCACAAAGGGACCAGACACATTCTTGGCAGAAAGGGGCATCAGTAGCTACTGAGGACAGGAGCGAGTGGCATGGCCCAGTCTGGGTCTGGGGTGTCGGGATGGCAGAGCTGCCTGACACAGGGCACTGGTTGCAGCTGCTCCATTCCCATGCACACTGCACCCACCTCCTGCTCAGCTCACCCAGCACTGGCCTCCCCAGAGCCCTCTGCGGGCCGTGATCCAGTTGCTCCAACCTGCTCGCCAGGCACTGGGTGTGCTAGGTTCTGTTCCCCCACTGAGGTGGGGCCCAGACCAGAGCTGTTCCTGCAGCCCTGGAGCTTCCCCAAGCCCTCTCAGACCTGTACTGGGCCCACCCCAGCATGTGGCCAGACCCCCGGCCAGGCTAGTCCCTTCCAACCCAAGTCCTGCGGCTCAGAGGACTCCAGGCAGAGTCCAGTGCAGGCTGACGCTGCCCAGGTGAGCTCCTCCTGAGCTCCCACCCTACCCTCTTGCCCCAGTGGCTGCTCGGAGGCCTGGCCCTCCCCCATGCTGGAGCCCTTCCTCATGTCAGTGTCCTTACCTTGGGGCTCCCATCTGCTTTGGGCTTGTAGGAGAAGGAGCCTCTGCCTTCAGTGCCCAGGGCTGCCAGTGCACGTATCCGACTTGTGCTGCAGCAAACAGGAGAGGATGCAGGGACCTGAGCCAGGTGCCCACAAACCTAGCTTGGCTGCCATGTCCCCAGTGACAGTAGCGCCAAGGGTGGTACCAAGAGGGATGGGGGTTCCCTGGAGCAGCACTGACCTGCGGGTGGGCGAGGGAGGCCGCACCTGGACCAGGATGAAACCCATGCTCTGCAGATACTGGATGTACTGCTGCAGGAAGGCGCCGCACATCTCCAGGAGCCATGGCTCCTCCTTCAGCTTGCAGGGCAGCGCCTCTGTGGAGTCGCAGCTGTGGCTGCGGTCCCGCCCTGAGGCCGTTGAGTCATTGGAGCGATGGCGCTTCTGCAAGGGAAGCCGGGAGCCTGACAGGCCTGTGCAGCTGGTGCCAGCAGGGAGCTGGCCACAGCACTCATGGGTGCATCTCTCCCAGTACCCCATCCCTAGCTGCTACAGAGCCCCACAGGAGCTGGGGGCACCCACCCCCAGGACACGTCTCCTGCTCTCCACCAGCCAGCCTCTGGCACCAAGCGCTGAGCTGAGCAACTCTTCCCCCAGACACACTGCCACAAATGCCGACAGTCCTGTCCCCCACAGAGCAGTCTAGACCCATCTGAGATTGCACGAGGGCCCTATGGTTTCCTGCGATAGCTGGGCCCAGTCTCTGATAGACTGCTCGCCCCAGGGCCTGGCAGACGGAGCACTTCCTTGTGATGCTCCGCGAGTCCCTTGGGAAGCACAGAAGCTCTTGAGTACCCCTCTCTGGACCCATTGCTGCCTCACCCTGGTCACAGTCCCTCTCACTGCCTGCCCCAGTCCTGCCAGCCTCTTGCCCCAGGCTCTCCTGGGGCTCAGTTGTTCTCAGTGCCCTGCTCTGCTCCCCCAGGGCACTGTGAGCTCAGCTGCGAGTCTCCTGCAGGAACAACGCAGGCTCCATGCTGACACCTCAAGCCCCCCCCCTAAGCTGCACTCTTCAGGAAGTGATAATCCACCTGGCTTTGCTTGCCAACGTTGGGCCAGTGCCCAAGACCCAAGAATGCGTCACCCCACAGCCCCTGGCTTGGCCTCCTCAGCACTTTCGTCCAGCACCTTGTTGGGGGTGTTTAGCACCCAAACAAGTCCACCTGCCTGCTCCCCACTCTGTGCCTCCCCACTGGCCAATCCACACCCTGCAGAGAGCAGTGCCACGGCCATCAGAATCATGCCTGCCAGAGTCCTGCTGCTCTGCTCCCAGCTACTGCAGACACTTGCCTGGTGCAGAGACATGGCTCAGGCCCTGCCGCCAACTGCTTACCAGCAGCCCCTGCTTCCTGTGGCTCTGCCCTGGACAGAGCTGCCCTTGCACCAAGGAGGGCATGCAGTTCTAGCACAGTCCGCTGTGCCCAGACTGACCCTGCCAGCAATGGCCTCTCACCTTCCCCTCCACCTTGGTCTGCTGGTCAGCCTGAATCTGCTGCCGGAACGCGGGATCGAAGAGCAGGGGGGTGGCACAGTAGTGCACCAGGCGTGAGGACTGCTTCAGCGTCTCCAGGTCGGCCAGCTGCAGGGCACAGGGGCACAGCTGCAGGGTGTGTTGGCAGGGCCCTCAGCAATGTGTGGGGCCAGACTCCTACCCCCTCTTGCCAGCCCCACGCACAGCAATTCCTCTGCCTTCCCAGTGGCCTCAGTCCCACTGCTGCTGCTCCCCACCCCCTGAAAGTGCTTGCTGCTTCCCCCATAGCCCATCCAGGCCCTTCAGCCTCCCTCCACCTCAGGATGCACTCACACTGATGGGCATGTTGGACTGTGCTGACCTCTGTTGCCAGGTCACAAAGAGGTTCTCGATCTTCATCTGCTTCTCCAGTTCTGGAAAAGGAAAGATGGACAGACAGGAGCTGCCGTGGGAGTGCAGAGCCAAGGCCCGGAACACCCACCCTGCTGGACCCTCCCATCCCCTCCTGCATGCACATGTATGCACACACGCATGCATGCACATGTGCACGCACATCCCTACATCGCTGTCCATGGGTCTCCACTGGGCCACAGAGACCACCTGCTGCCACTGCCCAGAGCTGTGCTCCTGCCTGTGGCCGAGTATGGGCAGGAGCTGCCCTACAGCCAGTGCCCTCAGCTGGGACTGGCAGGGCTTGTGGGGAGGGCAGGTTCCCATGACCGCAGCTCCTGTACCTCTCCTCTCCATGCTCTTGATCTCCAGGAACTGAGCGCCATGGCGAGACACAGGGTCAAGCAGCCCCACCTCTGGCCCGTGGGGGAGGCACTTGACAGCGGTGACATCCCTCAGAGCCTCGTCGAAAGGCACCATGTCGGGGGGGAAGTGCAGGGAGGGCAGGCTGCGCCCTGAGCTACTCAGCCGGCCCTGCTCCCGGCTGGGCGGGGGGCTGGGGTTGCGGATCAGCATGTCCACCTCCAGCGTGTTCAGGAAGGGGTTCGGCTCCTACAGAGGCAGACGTGGCCTGAGTATCTCCGGGCTATTGGGCACTGTGCCACCAGTGGGGGTCCCCCCAAGCAGGGCAGGCTGGTGCCCACCACTGAGCCCAGCTTCACCCTGCCTAGTGCCCAGCCCTATCCCACCTGCCCAGGGCCAGGCCCACAGGTCACCCCCACCCAGCCACAGGCTGGCTTCCACAGCACTGACAGGGCCACATCAGCTGCTGAGTGGAAGGATGGCAGGCAGGAGGGCCATGGGGCATGCTGATGCCTGGGGCTGCCTGGACCAGCTGGGCACTATAAGCAGCCATGGCCAGGACCTTCCCCAGCTCAGCCCTTGTGGCAGGGACGGGCACGCTGAGGTCGGGGGGGGGCACTGTACCTGCTTGGCATCCTCATGCCAGGGCGTGTCCATGTAGCAGTAGTGGTGGAAAAGCCCCAGCTTCTGGCTGAGCAGGCAATGAACGACGTGGGAGCGCGCATTCTGCCACTGCAGGAGGCGCGTGAGCGAGCTGGCCAGGGAGCTGCCCAGGTCCGGGGACCAGTTGTAGGTGTAGAGGGTCAGCTGGAGGGAAGCCACAGCAGGGAGGTGAGAGACTTGCTCTGGGATGCCCTGGGACACAGCCCTGCCATGGCACCCACCAGCCCTGCCCCCAGGTGGCTACGCCTGGGGCATCGGGGCTCCCTCTCCCATCAGGAGCCATGGTATGTGCAGGGGCCTGCACTGTCCTGCAGCACCAGGGCCCAGGCTGCCTGCGAGGTCACAGAGGGGCTGGTCAGCACCTTTCACCCACCCCAGCCCTCACCACAGGGGTCTGTGCATGCCCTGCTCAGACTGTTTGCCAAGCACCAGGCCAAGCCAGTCACTGGCCATGGGCACAGATGCATGCATGTGTGTGCGGGATCATGTCAGGCAGGCACCACCCACCTTCTTGTCGATGATCTCTATGAGAAGGAACCTCTGCCGGGGCACCAGGTCTCTCCCTGAGGGGCCAGAGCCCAAGCCCTTCTCTGTGGAGCTGAACTCCATGGCCTCAAAGCGCTGGAGCCCCTTGTGAGCTGCAAGGTATTGGAGAGTCACAAAGACAGGGTGCTGGCCAGAGTCCCCCTTCCCACCCACCTGCTGCTCTTGTGGGCTGGGCTGGAAGGGAGCGAGGCCACCCTGCTACCACAGGGCTCCGTACTGCATCAGCCGGTCCCAGTCTCAGACATCACTCGACAGCTCACTCTGGTTTTGCCCCCACCGCTCTGTTGGGGGGTTACAGATCTCTGGCCGAAACTCCAGGCTGAGCCTCCCATGGCCAGTCTGTGCCAACCCTGCCACGTGACTCAAACAGTCCTTTCCCCTGCCTCACCCTGGGGCAGCGAGGTCCTGCAAGAGCCTCCCAAGAGGAGAAAAATCCTCTAAGCTCAGCTGCTCCTCAGATGGGGCCTAACAAGGCCCCAGCAGGGCTACAACAGCAGGCAGCTGAGCTCCATGTCCCCGGAGGCCCCTTCTGGCCTGACAGCCCAAACAGGGCCTTGGCACCTGGGCTGGGCTTGCCATGTTCTGTTAGGTCAATGTGCAAAGGCAAGTGAACTGTGTGGGTCTGGCTCTGCCCTGGGTAGCATGGTAGTCAGGTGTCCTGACCTGCTCCGCACTGACCTCCATGTTCCCAATTCTTCTTCCTTCAATACTGGTTCCCAATCCTTGCTTTCTAATCGGGCCTAAAGGGCATCTTAGCTGCCTGGGACTTCTTCCTCTGCCTGGAGGGGTCGGTACCACAGCCTGGCACCTGTAGGCGCAGGTTCCTGCCTGGATGGTCCAGCTGCCTATGTCCGGGGTGCAGACTTCCCAGCTGTCTTTGCCCCCCGCACAGGACACGCGACCTTTGTGCCCAGATGCTCAGCCACCTGACCCTGCCTCACCCATGTGAATGCTCCCACAAACACCCATGTGTCCCTCCTGCGCTCAGCTTCGCAGAGAGCCAGGACTGCGCCTGCCTGCCTCATGGTGCTCTGAGCTCCAGGTGAGGTGCTTTAGGGCTGGACAGAACCTGGGCAGCAGGATACAGCCCCTGGGTTAGGCAAGCCCTGGCCCCAGCCCAGGTCAGACCAGCCCGTGCACAGTGGCCGTGGCTCTTGTGAAGCTGCTTGTGACGGTGCTGCATCCCAGGCACCCTGGGTGGGCCAGTGCCAGCAGGACAAGGGCTCTGAGCAGAAGCTGCCCAAGTGCAGCCCCTTGCTCCAACCACACCCTGGTGAGCAAAGACTTACGTTTGAACCTATGAGCAGGGGGGACCTGCTGCTCCTCTGCGCTGCCGGCCACTGCAGGCAAAGACATTGTCAGCACCTGCCGGGGGCCTGCACAGGCCAGACCCAGCGCTCCCTGTGCTGGAGCCCCGCCGTAGCGAGGAGGGGCACGGAACAGCTTCTAGGGCTGGGGTGGGCATCTCCCCCCACAGGACCTGTCCAGAGCCCCCAGTGACACCCGCCTGCAGCTCTGTGCAGCACTGGGGCCATGACCTAGGAGAGTGAGGGCTGGTGCCTGGGCTGCACCGGGCCAGGATGACCCTTGGGCATAGTCGTCCCTGGCACCACTCTGCTGGACACCCTACAGGCCCTGAAGGCCACACAGCTTGTGCCCCCACCCCCAGCCCCCAACTCACACACACAAAGGGAGGCCCTGGCCTTACACTCACCCTGCTCGGTGCTGTAACGCCACTGGTGGAAACTGCGCCCAAGTAATATGAAGTGCCGGACAGCAGCAGGCCGCAGGCTTGTGCTCTGGCTGGGCTTATAGGGCAGGAAGGTGGCACCCCAGGGGCAGCTGTGGAAGAGAGCATCACTGCGTTATTGCCGGGGCCAGGCTGTGACAAGCAGGCAAGGGGTGTCTGCTGTGTGGCCCTGCACTTTTCTGCCCCCCCACCCCCATGTGCCCTGGGCTTTTCCACCCCTGCCCCCACTGCACTATTCCATGCTCCCACTTACAGCCCCACACTGCCCAGCTGACATGTCCCTCTCCTGCCCTGCTCCTCGGTTCACTCCCCAGTGACACTCACCAGAGCCGCTCAAACACCTTGACAGCGGTGTCGCTGGCCAGGGCAGTGACCAGGCTCACCACCTCAGCCAGCACCGAGGGGAGCAGGAAGCGGGAAACGATCTCCACTGAGCACTGCTGCACTGAGGGACACCCTGTGACCAGGAAAACCAAGGTCAGGTCAAGGGGGCACTGCAAGGCCCAGAGCATCCCAGTGACAGGAGGGAGCCCAGTGGTGTAGGCACCAGCCCCAGGACCAGTCCCTGCTCTGCCACAGGCCAGCGTGCAGCCGTGGCCAAGTTGCTTGGTCTCCATCCCCATGGGAGAAAGAAAACTGCCCTGCCCAGTGACAGACAGTGCCCTGATGCATGGTAGCATGGTAGAGCACCAGCCCCAAGCCTCCTGCTGGGACCCTCTCCCTGGAGCCGCCTCTGTCCCCCACCTGCCCTCCTGACTGCAGAGGGCAGGCCGGGCAGGGACGTCCTGGGTGCAGCTGGACAGAGGCAAAGACCCAAGACAGGCTGCATGGCCCAGCTCCTGCCCCACCCTGCACGGACAGCCTCCCTGCACCCTCCTGGCCCGTCCCGCCCACCTGGCACATACCCAGGTGGCTCATGAATGCCATCCACTGCTGGCAGGTCCGATGGAAGAGTGGGTGCATGACACCGACGTCCCCCTCCTCCAGCTGGCAGGTGCGGCGCCTGGGGCAAGGCACCAGCGGTGACAGGTTAAGGGCACAAGGTGGGAGGGGAGCAAGCCAATGCCTGGCCCCCTCTGCAGCTCCCTGCATGTCCCAGAGGCAGCTGCGGTCCTGCACCCGGCCCAGCAGTGCCCCTCCGCATGCTGGCACTGCAGGCGGTGGCAGTGGCAGCAGTGCACACCAGGGCCACAGCACATGGTGTGGCTTGGTGCTGGCTGGGAGCAGCGGTCCCAGGGCAGTGCCATGGGCTCACCTCTGAGCCTGTTCTAGCTCAGCAGTGGCCGTGGCCCGCTCCTGGCTCAGGTGTTGCCTGACACTTTCCGTCTTGTGGCGTCGCCGTGTGCGCGTCTCCTCTGGCCGCTCTAGCACGATGTCATCAGTGGTTTTGGGGCTGCCCAGCTCTGACGACTCTGCCTTGCTCTGGGGAGCAGGGCACAGATGAGACAGGGAGAGGCACAGCTTCCTCCTCCCCCTGGCCAAATCCTGGGTCCTTCCCCTGCCTCACAGCCAGCTCCACTGCTGACATCTGCCCTGCCGGCCACAGGTCACCCCCTGCTACAGGCCCCTGCCCCAGCCCCATGGCCATGGTACCAGCATGTCCCAGAAGCTACGGCGTCCCAGCTTGCTTGTAGGTGTGACTGGCTCGCCGGGGCTCGAGGCAGCAGCTGGGGTGAAGTGCAGGGGGGCTGGGCACCCGCGACTGGCACCAGCATTGCGTGCAGCCTGAGCCAGCCCCTTGGTCTCTGACATCGTCCTCCTGAGGCCTCCTGCAAGCAGAGCAGGTGTGAGGCCTTCTGGACATCTTTGCTGGAGAGCGGCTGCAGCCCCAGAGCTGCTCCCACCCCAGCACTGGGGCTTGGCCAAGCAATCCTGGGCCCCATCCACAAGCAGCCTCAGAGCAGCCAGCCAAAGCAGTGACCTGTGCCCCTTGCTGGGGGGAAAGGTCGGGCCCCCACTTTCTCCTGTCTAACGGCACCACTGGCAGTTCAGCTGGATGCCACTTGGGCTCAGCAGCTTGGGGAAGATGAAGTGAGGCTCCATCCCTGGGTGCCAAACCCTGGAAAGGGACAGCTCGGATAGGCTCTCACCACTGCTGGTCAGCTCATCCAGCTCGGCGGTGGCCAGGGGGCAGGCGGACTCCATGCAGAGTGGGGCAGGCAGCACACGGACCTCCATGGTGGCATCGCACACGGCATGACGCAGGGCCCCACGCAACTTCTCCGACAGCTGCAGGAGGCTGATGTTTCCCTTCTCCCACATGTCCAGGCGCACACGTGCGCAGGGGCCTGCAGGTGAGACCAAGGCATTGCACAGTGCTGCTGCCTTCCACCCCACATGCCCCTGCCACTGGCTCTGCTGGGGGCAGCAGGGCTGTGCTAGCCAGGCCTGGGGGAAGGCAGCCATGAACCACCCTGGGGGCTGCAAGGGCAGTGTGATGCTCAGACCCTGCCCTGCCCATGTTCTGGCTTCGGCATGGGGACAAGGCAGCCCTTGGGATGGCCCCTGCTTCTCTGGCATGCCCCTCACCTGGCTGCAACATGCCTGGCTCGACATGGTGCTGGCTGACTGCAGTGAGGCTCTCGAAGTCCGAGTCCTGCAGCAGGTCGGTGCTGGGTGGTGGCCTCAGGGAGCCAGGCCGATCCCCGGGTGCCAGCAGAAGGGGGCTGTCGTTCTCATCCACGAAGGTGAGGGCAATGCACGCGATGCCTGCAGGGAACAGAGCCCCAGTCAGTGCAGTTTTGGTCCTGGGAGCACCTGGCTGAGCCGTGAGCAGCCCTGCAACCGGCACTGAGTGGTGAAGGAGACAGCTGTGCCAGAGTCAGCATGCGAGGCACCCATAGGCACTGCTGGGGGTGCAGTGCCCCCAGGGCCTGATGGGTGTCCATAGGTCAGAGGCACATTAATGCACCCAGAGCATGAGCTCCAGGTGGGTTCCTTAGCTGTGTGGCCCTGCACACCCTGAGCCCTTTGCTCAGACCCCACAGCAGCCCCAGCTTCAGCACCACAGAGCGCCCCACCCTCCAGCAGCAGGCCCCCTGCACACCTGCCGGGGCCCAATGAGCCTCCACACGGTGCCTTCACCCCACCCCACTTCCAACATGTGTGCGCCATGGCCCTCCGGTCTTTCACTAGTGCTGCAGGAGCACCTGGCTCTGATGAAGGCCCCACTGCTGGGTACAGCATGTCTGGAGTGAGAGCTCCTGTGCCAGGACTGCTGCCTCGGTGCTGACCGGATGCAGGGGGCAGGGTGCAGGTGGGGGGCCAGCAGTCCCAGGGTACAGCAGGCTGCACCAGCCCCATAAGCCCCACCAGCCATGAACTAGGCTCCTGGTAGCAACCTCTGAGCAGCCACAGGGTGGCAGCACCAAGCACCCTTTGCCAGCACCATCAGGCTGGCGCTGCATCAGGCTTAGGGTCCCACAGGCCCGTGCCCTGCTTCTGCCAGGCTGCATTGTGACCAGGGGCAGCTGTAGTGCAGCCATGGCCCATGCAATGGGGCAAGTGCTGCAGGGACCAACAGGCTGACAACTGCTCCATGTCCATGCACCCGGGCAATGCTGGGGCTTAACGCCAGCACTGAGTACTGGGCCCAGCATGGGCCAGCTGCTGGGAGATCAGGGCCAGCCAGGAGAGGCTCTGGGCTGAGACATCAGGCACAATTGCCCACCCAGGCACCACACAGATGAGCTTGCACTTTTCCTCTGGTCCAAATTCCTCGAGCTCCTCTACACATTGCAGGTATCACACAATGACCTGATTAGTTGTGCAATGACCTTGAGACCCATACACATGCATAGTACTCATCTCGCCATAGAAAGGTCCAACCAGCTACAAAGTGAGACCTCAACAGTGTGTGCTAGCTCTATAGCTGGCTGCTACCCAGCTTTACTTTACACACATAGCAGGGTCTCCACTGTACTGGGAGTGCCATCAGCTGAGGGCTCCCAGCATAGGGGTGCCCCGTGCCCAGTTGGGGCTGGGAGACCTGCAACTGATGGCACTCTTAGCACAGCAGCTGCAGACTTGAGGGCCTGGCAGAGCACCACAGCTGCCAGGACCCAGAGATGCTGAGTCCCCGAAGTGCACCTCCTGCTCCTGGCAGCCATGGGGCACAGCTGTGATCTCCCAGCCCCAGAGGTGCATGAAACCCTGGAAGTTGGGAGATGGCTGCTGCTGTGCTCTCCCAGCTCTGGGGGTTTCATGCATCCCTGGGGCTGGGACATGGTGGCAGGTGCGAGGGTGCACAGGGTGCCCCTACAGCTCTCAGCTGCAGGAGCTTCCTTCTTGCTGGGTGCAAAGGGAGCGCACAGCAAGACACCGGGCCAGAGAAAGGGCCCCAGCCTGAGCTTGGGGCTGCCGGGAAGTGTGCGAGGTGCCTGCCAAAGCAGCGGCTGCTGCATGTTGTTTAGAGGTGGCTCCAGGAGGCCCCAGTCAGATCTGGCACTGACCCAGAGCCTCCTGGGGATAGGCACTGGAGTGGCTGGGGAGAATGCCTGGGGAGGCTCTGGCGACTGCACGCCCTTGAGCAGGAGTCTGTCCTGTGGTCCCAGAGCGCCATACTCCGAGCCAGGCTGCCAGGGCGGTGGCAGGGTGCTGGCTTCTGAAGAGTTGGGGTCATGGCCCCAGGGGCATCAGGAGTTGCCAGCTGTCTGACACCCCCACCCACAGGGAGGGTGCTGGCAAAAATTGGCACAATCAGCACATGTATGCTGGAGACAGACCTGAGGGAGCAGGGGAGTGTCCCAGACTGCTGGGAACTACATTTACATTTCAAAGCAGAACCTGTAAGGGGCTAGAGACTAGAATAGCAGAGAAAGACAGACACTGAACACAGGAGTTGTGAGGAGTGCAGGATATGTGAGGGACGTGAAAAGCAAGGTATGGTTAAGGCCCCCATGGGGGAGAAGGAGGTGCAGATTCACCTATGAAAACCCAGGCAGGGATCAGGCTTGTGGGATCTCCTCATTGCCTGAATACTGTACCTGGCTGCAAGGAAATGCTCTGTCCTGGGATTATGTAAGACCTATGCAAGATGCTGTTGTCTTTTTGGTTTACTGTGTTGCATTTTAAATTAGGCTCAGTTGTGTGGGCCGTTGCTGGATCTTACTGGGCCATCTCTGAGCTTAGGCAAAGTTTTTCTGTTGTTATCTGTTGTGTGCTTGAACTTGCAAACCCACTGTGCTCAGTAAATACTCTCTTTAGAAAACAGGCTATTCTTGCCCAAGCATTTATGAACTCAGTGCCACTGTCTAAAGTCTACTGTTAAGTCTGGTAACAGAGGCCAGGCAAGCAGATGCATGTGAAGGGCCTGGAGCAGAAGGCATTGCACAGCAAGGGAGGCAGGAGCTGGGGGTGGGGAAAGTATGGTACTATGCCTGGTGCCACCTTGGAACTGGGAGGAAGGAAGGAAGGATGGACGGACTGCATGAGGTCTGACAGGTACCTATGCAACAGGAAGATGTTTCGAGGGCACAGGGGTGCAGCAGATGGACAAGGGATGGGCCCAGCTCCCTAGCAAGGATGGGCCTAGGCAGAGGCAGAGGCATGTGGTCTGGGAGAGAGGATCACCCCCCACCCAGCTTCCCAACCCACCTACCTGTGGCACCAGGTGTCCCTGCACCGCCAATGCTGGCTGAGGGCACACGTGCTCCCAGGCCATGGGGTCACACACTGCTCCTCCCCTCCCCCCTCCCTACAGGATACACCATGCCCCCTCCCCACACCATGCAGGGTCCCTGTGCTGGAAAGTGGCTCCCTGCCGCCTGGCCACAAGCCCAAGCTGCAAGTACCTTTGCCGCCGGTGCCCTGCCCGCCCGGCTTGTTGTACAGGTAGAGGTCCAGATCGGGCAGGCTGCCGCTTGGGTGGAAGTAGTGCTGGGAAGAGAGGGGCAACAGTGAGGGAAGAGTGCAGTGCATGGCCAGCAGAGTCCCCCCACCCCTGGCAACCAGGACCTTGGGTAAATGACATGCTGCTTCATCCTGGCAATGGGCACAGGGCCCTCCTTATGGCCCCCTCTACACACGGGTCTAATGATAGGGCCCAGGCTGGTGCCCATCACAGGGAGCTCTTCCAGACAGTGTGGCACTGGTGAAGGGCTCCCCTGGCCATCACCATGCCAGGACTGTGGGCCTCCAAGGATGTGAGGCCCACAGATGGGTGCCGAGCCCCATCCAGGGGTCTGCTGAGTGGGCAGAGGCCAAGGGTCAGACTGTCCAGTCCTCTTGCTGGGTCTGTGGCCTCTTCCTGCCTGCTTATAAGACTGCAGCATGGCAGGCTGTTAGAGATGCGGGGGGAACCAGGACCTGAGCATGACCAGAAGGTACTGGAGGCCCCTCTCCCCTTCCACCTGCCACGGGGCCCTGGGTGAAGCTGGCAGTGCCAGGGTGCACTCCACAGCGTGCTTTCATCAGGGCCGGTGTCTGCGACCCTTAGGAACGTGGGGAACTCTGCGGGATGCAGTGACATAGCTGCGAGGCCAGAGCAAGGAACCAGGCTCAGCTCTGTGCAGAGCACCAGGGGGAGTGGGGTTCTTGGAAAGACAGCGGTGAGAACTTGGAGGGGAAGGCAAAGCACAGTTTGCGAGGCAGGACAATAGATCATCTACAGGACCAAGCTACGTTTGAGTTGGTCTGGTGGAAGAGGCTGCCTCGCCTCACAAGCCTTCCTCTTCCCACATGGCTCCATCATGCTCCAGCCCTCAACAGGTGCTGCAGCGCGTGACGGGGCCCCACAGCCTGCTCACCTTGAAGTGATGCTCAACGTTGCTGTCAGTGTACTTGGGCGTGTGCAGGAAGATGAGCAGGTTCTGGCGCAGGTAGTAGGCCACGGCAGGGAGCCAAGGCAGAGTGGACGGCGGCAGGGTGAACTGGAGGACCTCTGTGGGTGGAGTCCCTGGGGGCTGGATGAACTGCAGGGGGGAGCCGGTGAGCCTCTGGGCATGGCCCGGGCACTGGGGGGCATCCACCAGGCCCCTCCCCTGCCTGACAGCTGCCAGAGAGGAAGACCTGGGCACAGACCCACCAAGGGGGACCTAGGGCCCTACAAGGGTGCCCAGAAGGCAAGACATCCCCAGGGGTTCACTGTACCCCTGTCCCCACAGAGGGAGGCCCAGGAAGTGGTTTGGAGACAGCTCCTAAAGCCCCAAGAACCCCCAAAGGGGCACCCTCAACCCAGCACCCTGGATGCATAGCTGGGGCAGGTAGCCCCCAGCACGAGGCAAGACCTGGCAGATTCCTAGGGGCAGGGCAGGAGGTGACTGCAGCAAGAGCTAGGGCTGGACAGGCTGGGCTGGGCAGGGCAGAGTGGCAGTGCAGGGGGCAGTACCTCCACGTCGGCTGGGGTCAGCTTGCAGTTCCGCACCAGCATGACGGTGATGATGTCCAGCGTGGCTTCATCCAGACGTCGGCGCAGGACTTTCACCAGCTCGTCCGTGATCTCAGGCCCTGCAGGTAGGCAGCATGAGAGCAATGCCCTGCCCCTGCTGTCCCCGCCACTGCCCCACACCTGTGCCCTTCATCAGGGCACCACACCCCTGCCCTGACCAAAGGTATTGACAACTGGGAGGTGAAAGGAAGACAGGATGCCATGGGGGGCAGGGACTGTCACAGGGTGGAAGGAGCGTCCCCCTGCACTGGGCCAAGTTGCCATCCACCAAGGACCCCACACCCCAGTTCAGCCCTCACTCACCCTTGCCCTGCATGTGTCCCTCACCCCTGGGGTGTGTCTCCATCCTCCCTCTACTGGGCCAGCCTGGGAAGGCCACAACACACCTGCCTGGGTGACGCCATGGACCATCAGCTGGATGTGTCTGTCCACCTGGCCCACGGGGCGGGTGGAGTCCACACTGCGGCATGAGCCCAAGTCGAGGGAAGAGCGGGATCCCTGTAGGGGTGAGAGGAAGGCGCTGTGCTGGCAACATCAGCTTTCATGGGGACCTGGGCCTTGCTCTGCCTGGGAGGGTTCCCCAGAGCCACAGTCATCAAGCACAAACAGGATCGTTCCCACCTTGCTACCACCACCCCACCCACATGCTCCACAGGCTGCCCCAGCCCCTGCCCCAGCCTGGCTGCCCCCAGCTCCTACCCTAGCCATGAGCCCCACTCCTCCCCACACAGCCTACAGTTGTAGGCACATTTCTCCCACTGCCCACCCCAATCCCATGCCCTCAAGTGCCCAGAGTCCCCAGGGCAGCATGTAGCAGCCTCACCATGAGATCCTCAGGGTAGATGGGCTCCTGGCTGCGTGTCAGAGCCAGTGAGCGGCACACGGGGCCCTGGGTACTCTCTCCTTCCCATACCTTCCCACTGTAGGTGGTTTCCGTGAGCCTGGGGGGCAAGAGAGGGCTTCAGCCAACAGCATGGGTCAGAAGTGCTGGACTGTGGCTCAGCGTGATACTGGTATTACCACACACAACCCAGCAGAGCACACTATGGCCATGGCAAGGCATTTGGTCAGGCCCCACCCTGCCATCCTGAGCATGGGTTGAGGGGCTGGCTGGGTAGCCAAGGACAGGAGGCGCCTGCTCTGCATGGCACAGCCACAGACTGGAGCCAGGGCAGATGCTGCAGAGCTCCTGCCCACAGAGGCAGGTGGGCCAGCAGAGGAAGGGCCCAGGCCCTACAGCTCCTCACCGCAGATAGAAGACGGCCTTGGTGGAGCGCTCCTGGTAGACAAACATGTTCTTGCGGTTCACCACGGAGAAGGCGTTGAGCACAGAGCGCAGTGCCTGGATGGCTGGGGACAATGGGACATCAGTGACCCCAAGCTGCCCCTGCAGGGCAGGACAAAGTCGCCGGAACCCAGTGGGCACTTGGCCAGGGAGAAGAGCCCAAGCAAAGCCCCCCCCACCCCCTGGAGCACTCCCCACCACTTGCATACACATGCACCTCGTGAGACTCCCATGTTGGGCCCCATTTTGAGACGTGAGTGCACGTGGATGATGGTGCTCCACACCACGTCGCAGGCAAAGTGCCCCGGCACAAACTGCATGGTGGCAGCCAGGTAGTCCCGGGGCTGGTAGCTCTCCTCTGATGAGTAGTCTGCAGGAGCGGGAGGGGAGTCACACAACCGTAGCATGGGCCCTGAGGAGCCAAGCACTGGCACCTGGGGCTGGGGGGTGGCTGTACCATCGGTGGGCAGCACGCGCTGTCGGTACGAGGTGTAGGGGGTCTCGGTCTTCCAGATGTCCTCCTCGCTCTCGGCCACCAGTAGCGAGTTGCAGATGTGGCTGTCATGCAGGTCCTGCAGCAGCAGGCGCTGCAATAGATGCAGAGTCAGCTTTGCTGCTGCTTGAATGGGCCAGCTGACAGGACCTGCTGCCAGATGCTGCCCCTGCCAACCCTGGGGGCTGAAGAGGGGCTGCCAGCTGGAAGGAGCCACCCCCTCTCTGGAGCTGGGGAGGAATCTGGCTGTGGCTGGGAGCCACATGTGGCCCCTCCCGTTCCCACTTGGGGAACTGTTGCTATCCCTGCCCACCTAACAGTACCTGATTCACCACCCTGCAGATCTCGCTGATCTTCCTCACCACGGCCTGGTGTAGGCGCAGGCAGGTCCCAGCTGGCTCCTCCTCTGCCTCAGCCACTGCCGCCTTCTCTGCGCTCAGGCTGCTGCAGAGGCAGTGGAGAGGCTGGTGGGTCCATGGGTGCCAAGTGCCAGGGGCAGTCACCTAATCCCTCTCACAGCCTCCACATGCCTTGGGCTGGGAGTGGACCCTGTATGGGGAAAGTGGGGTGGGCCCAGACCCAAGCTGGGGCAATGAGAGGATGGCAGCACCAGATGTGGCAGGGGCAGAGACACTGAGTCAGTCCCTGCTGGAGACAGCAGCAAACAGCTGTGAACAGACAGCCCTAGTCCGAGGCACGGGGCCAAGGACCAGACACCAGCAGGGAGGAGAAGCACAGTAATGGTAGCAAGAGGGTCTCGAGGGGCAGTCAGACATGAATGCACCCAGAGAACCAGGACAATGATACCTCTGAGGGCAGGAGCACAGAGGGCTGACAGCAGCAGTCAGGAGACCCCAAGCAGGACCAGGCACTTGTCCAGCATGTGTGGGGCCTGTTATCCAGCTACCTCTGTACCCTGGTCCCCACAGCCAAAGCTTCTCTGAGCCAGCTGCCAGCAAGTGCACGTGTACACAGGGATCATGGCTTCTCACTTAGCCGGTGCCCAGCATGGCGCAAGCTGCCAGGACTGTGTCCCAGCTCATGCTGGAGGGCAGGGCAGAAGGCAGCTTGGACATCCCAAGACATGGAGCAGAGGAGCACCAAAGACAGGGACCAGGGTCCTGGTGGAGTCTGGGCTGCAGCAGACCAACTGATGGAAGTGACATGGCAACCAGAAGGTGGAAGGGGGAGGTTCTGGCTTTGGGCTACAGGACCCACCCCACTTACCGTGTATGGGAATAGACCTCCACACGGTCCTGCTGGATCTTTACAATCAGCCAGAAGTCAGGCATCAGTGGGCACTGTGGGTCCTGGTCACTCATCAGTGCCTCCTCACACTCTGAGTCGCTGCTCCCGCCATCATATCCTGCAAAAGGAGCCCTGCGGCTGGAGAATGTGGCACCCACAGCAAGCACCTTCATCCAGGGCAGGCGGCCCCTGGGAACTGACAGCTGCCCACGTGCTTCACCCCCAGCAGTCCCTGCCAAGCCCCCTCACTGCCACCCAGGCCTAAGCCACTCCACTCCACTCCCAACCCCACCCAGGCCAGCAGCCATGGGCAAGCCCTAGCCAATGGAACCTCACCCAGGTGATCAGAGTCCATGCTGCCCTGGCTTGACACCAGGCTCTGCACCCGGCTGGGCTGTTGCTTGCTGGAGCCTGCAGGTGAGGAAAGGCTGTTCAGCAGGTGCTGGCCACAGCTTGTGGCAATGCCAGCCAGTTGCTATCCACCAGCGTCAGCCTGGCGAGAGGAGAGGAGGGGAGGGCCCCAGGACAGCATGGGACCTGGTACAGATGGGCTGGAGAGCCACAACAATCAGGCACGCAGGTGGGGGGCGGGAGGGGGGACCAGGTGCATGGGGGCCTTGGTGTCTCTAGAGGTGGTCACATGATGCAGTAGCTGCACAGCTACCACCCTGTCCAGCTGGGAGCATGGAGGTGGCTGACGGCCCAGCCTGGGAGCAGGGCTCCGCACCACTGCAAGCCCTGCATGGCACAGCACAGCAGAGGGGTCCTGATGCAGCAGCCAAGAGGCTGCCATTGTTCCCAAATTGCACCCAGCCTGGGGTCTCAGCATGTGGCCCCCTTCATCCCAAGCCCCCCATACGCCCCATGCCTGCCCCCTCACTCCAGCCTGGCCTATGGCTGCCTGCACCTTCCTGACCATGGGTCATGGACTCAGCCAGGCTGGCAGCAGATGGCGTCGCCGATGGTGATTTCTCACTGTTCCACTTGTCAGAGGCCGACGATGGCAGGGACCGGGGGGCTGTCTCCAGTGCAGCCTCCTCCAGGGATCCCCGTCCAAGTGCTTTGCCCTGTGCTGGCCTCGGTGCTTCATCCACAACTGGCACCTGTACCAGGGGCTGCATTACTCAGTGACCCGGGCCCCGGAGGAGTGTTGCCAAGCCTGGCTGCAGCCCCCGCCCCGAGTCTCACCTCGCTCTGAGTGTGACTGCCTTTGTCTGGCAGGCTGCCCACATCAGCTCTGATGCAGGTCTCATTTGTGGGCCATGGCCAGATGCCCCGTGGCTCCTCTGGGCGGGTACAAGGTGGATACTGTAGGGCAGGTCCCTCAGCCTTGGTGGCACTCTCCAGCCCTGCCTGGCTCTGGGCTCCTTCAGGGCCCCCTCCATGCAGGCCAGAGGCTGCACATTCAGGGGGGTCTTGTGGGCCAAGTCCTGCCCGTTGGGCATGTAGGCGGCTGATGGAGATGTAGTGGTAATCGCTGCCTTCTGCATTGAGCATGTAGCCTGGCAGTGTCATCCTCCTGAACTCCTGGAACGGAGGCCAAGATGAGCCAGGCCCAAAGCAGCAGGGTCAGGCACAAGCACTGCAGCATGGGGCAGGTGGGGTGTGGGGGGTGCTTGGGGTATTACCTCTCGGAACTTCTCCAGCGAGTGCTCGGGCCCAAAGACAAACTGCAGCAGCACGGCCTCACTGTGGCAGCTGGGCCGGCCCTGGGAGTGGTGGATGTGGGTGGCCACACGGTGCAGGACGTCAGCGCTGATGTCCTGAGAGTGGCGTAGTGCGGACACGATCTCATCGTCCAGCAGCCAGCGGATCTGGGCAGTGCAGCACACAAAGGGGACACAGTCATGTGCAGGGGCACCCTAGCCTTGTACCTGGGGCCTTCACCACTCACCTGCAGCCAGGCCCCAGCTAGTCCTGGCTCTGGGCTCATGTGAGAAGCTAGGCTTTAGAGCAGCTCCCTTGCCATGCCTGAGTTGGGACAGGCAGGAGCCTGCGTGATCCCAGCAGGTCTTGGGAGCTGCTGCAGGCAGGGTCCACCCTATGGCTGGGGCACTCCATGGAAGGGGCTGTGAACAAGGCTGGCCCACCACCAAGGAGACACTAACTCAGAGCAGCACCCAGCAAGCCCAGGCATCCCTTTCTACCCCCCTTCCCATCCCCCAACAATCCCCAACAGTGAGGGAGACAGGCCAGGGCTCACCTCATTCATGGTGGCTTCGATGGCCTCTCTGTGCACCCCGGGGAGGTTGGAGAGTGCCGGGTGCCTAGGAGAGAGGGAACATGGATAGTCACAGCCATGTACATGGCCCTCAAGCAGGCAGCTCAGCCCGCGAGGGGGCTGAGCTGCCAGGCAAGGCTGGCCAGGGCTGTGGTACCTCTCGTCCCCCGTTGAAGGCAGCCGGTCCAGGCTGGGCATGATCTCGTCATCAGAGCGGAAAGAGGAGGGCTGCCCAGGAGAGCGGGTGAATGAGACGCTGCTCTCAGATGTACACCTGTGGCAGGAGGGGAGGGGGGTTGCTGCTGCCTGAACCGTGGGAGCACTGATAGCTGCAGACCCTGGTGAGCAGCTGGGAGTGCCCAGGTGAGGGCGAGATGCTGTAAGGGCCCTGCAGCCTGGGGCATTGTTTGCAATTCACGCCTCATGGGACTGCATAGGCAAGCTCCATGCCAGGGTGCATGGGGATGAATTCCACCCGACCAGCCTGGATGAGCCAAAGCAAGCGAGCCTGGGTGGGGGGTGGCTGCCTGGCCAATCAGCAGGACTGCCAGCCAGACAGGCTGGACTAGACCAGGCCAGGCCTCCCCACACCTACCGGTTGTGGTGGATATCAGCATTCACCACGTCGATCTCCAGAGGCAGTGTCAGCACAAAGATATCGAGGGTCACGCAGAGGTCAGCGAGGTCAATGCTGTGCATGGCCTGGCAGCTTTCCAGGCAGCTCAGGACCTCCCCTGAGGAAACAACCTGCTGTCAGGGGCAGGCATGCATGGCAGTCTGTGCCCAGGACTCTCCTTGCCCTGAAGGCAGCTGCAAGGGCCCAGAGTTCCCAAAGGCCTGAGCGGCTGCCCGCGGGGAGTCCTTACCTAGACAGGTGGGCAGCGAGCGCACAGGCATGGAGCTGTGCTGGCTGCGCAGCTTCACAGAGCAGGTCAGGTGCATGAACAGTGGTGGCATCTCCTGCTCCGGGAGCTCCTGCTCGTTCAGCGAGTCCCCACCCAGGACACTGAAGGAGTCGTCATCCTGGTTCACTGTGTTGGAGCCCGACTGGGAGTCCGTGTCCAGAAACTCGTGTTCTAGCTTCTCCCGGTACTCCACCTCCAGCTCAGGGTCACTCTCCGTGGCGATGCAGCACCCCATGATGGTCCCTGTACACACACCCGCTGCAGTACATGCAGCCCAGCCCCAGAGCTCCCTAGCTCCCGGTGCAAGCGCCACCCTGTCCTGCCACCCTCTGCACTAAGGCACATGCTGCCTCCTCTGGTGTGGCCACGGCTGCTCTGCTCCAGGGCCCAGGCAGGGTGAGCCACCTGTCCGCATGCACCATACCTTCCTCAGCTGCCAGGTCAGGCTCCGAGCCCTCCAAGTCCTCGCTACCTTTCCTGTCTGCCAGGTCCCGGGTGGCATCCTCCTGAGCAGAGAGCAAACACATTGCATACAGGGGCCAGGACTGCGCTCTTCAAGGCAGACAACAGGGCAGGGATGCCTGGGGCCAGCTGCAGAATGGGGAACACCAGCTCCAGCTCCCTTCCTGGCATAGCCTGGGCTCGGACCTCCAGCTCATGGAGGACAAGGCTGTGTGAGCAGCCAGGCCCTAAATGCCAACCTACCTCTTTCTTGGCAGACGGCGGGCAATAGAAGAAATAGTGTGGGTTGGACGGCACTGGCTTGAAGTGCAGACTCCCGATTTCCAGGAACTTCTCCTGCAGAGCAAGGAAAAAGAAGCTGCCTGTGAGAGTGGCGCTCCACTCCTTTCCCTGGGGCTGACCCAGCCTCATGGCAGGAGTCCCATGCCGTCACCTGGATGATCTTGTGCAAGTCAGGATGCATCTGGCAGGGCTGGCTACTCCCCAGCAGTGAGAGGGGGAAGTCCGGGCAGCAGCTGGCCCCAGTGCTGCCCCTGAGCTCCTCAGTGGGGCTGGAGATATGGTGGGAGTCCTGCTCGCTGTAGTCCTCCATTTCCGCACTGGCCGATGTTGGACAAGCCATTCAGGGGCAGCAAGAAACCATGACCCAGAATCACAGGTATCCTGCACCCAGCCCCTCAACACCCCTCCCCTCTTACAGGTTACAGGCAGCACCATGTTGCCCTGGGTACTGACAGCCTCACGCCTCGAGACAGCACCTTGTGCTCTGACCCTGCCTGATCCCTGTAACCTCCCCAGGCCCAGACAGTTACCACCATGCTCCACCAAGGCAGGGGGACACAGAACAGACAGAACAGCTGAGTGGGCACAGCCAGGGCATGGGTGGCACATACTGTGCTCAGCCATCATGTCTCCACACACGCACCAGGCCTCTGCAAAGCATCAGCACCAGCGAGAACAGGGCAGAGGACAGCTCCAAGTAGGAGTACGTTTGCCAGGGCAGTGGCCTCAGCCTAGTGCTTACTCAGCAGCTCCATCAGCTCTGCCCCCACCCTCCATGGAAGAGGGGCAGACATGCCTGCCTCCAGGGCAGCCCTGTTTGGAGCTAGGCAGCCAGTGCCCTACCTGGACTCTGAGGCAAGGATGCCTCTCTCCCGGGCACCCAGCTCATTGTCTTGATCGGCACTGCCCATGTGGAACCCGGTGGCCTTGGTGTGAGTACGGAAATGCTGATGGCTCTCGCGGAAGGAGCGCACATGGCTGCACAGCGTCAGCAGGAAGTGGGTGATGTCGATCTCCTGCAGCAGCTCCTCGCAGTAGTCCATGGCTGTCAGCAGGTCCTGTGAGCTGATCCCGTGTGACTGCTGCAGGCTCTTGAACAGCCCTGTGGGGTTGGTGCTGCACTCAGCATGTGGCAGTGCTACACAGGCCCCCATGGGGAGCAGATGCAGCCCAGGCACTGCTCAGCATGGCAGCGAAGGGGGCAGGGAGGGGACCACAGCAACCCACTCAGCTTTGGACCCCAGGTCCAGTCCCCTCGTCAGGCCCAGGGGTGGCAGCAACAGCCCCATGCAGCACCAAGCTCCATCATTCAAGGAAGAGGCTATGATCCCCTGCTGGGAGGCCCCAGACCAGGCCCTCACCTTTCACATAGCACTGGTGCGAGTGCTCCTGAAGCAGCGTGCAGTAGCCTACCAGCTCCTTGTGCTTGTGGTCCAGCCAAGAGGCACTGGGGGGACGGTCCAGAGACTGGGATCTAGGGAAGAGCAGCACCAGGACCTCTCAGACCCCTTGCTGCCAAGGCAGCACAGGGCCAGCAGGGCTGGGCCAGACAATTCACACCCCAGCACTCCCAGGCTGGGGAGTTACCTGAAGAAGATGTCATGGGGTGGGCGGTGTGCCCGTGGGCTGACCAGCTGCTCCCGGAGTGCCTCCAGGGAGCAGCTGTAGACATATACAGGGCAGCGGATGCGGCGGCACTCGCTGGGGTCAGGCTGCGAGGCCTGGCGGCTGAAGGAGATGTGCACATCCCTGCGCGGAGCAGCACCCGGCTCGCTAGGGTCCTGGCCAGCCTCTGCGGAGGAGACACGCTGACAGAAATGCCTTTGCCTCTGTTGAGTGCCCAACACCTGTGCCCCCTGGAGCGTTTACAGCTGCGGCACAACTAGCCCCCACAAAACACAGCAGTTCTCCACTCCCTGCCAGGACCAGCTGGCTACAGCTTGAAACCTGGCCCCCACTGGGCAATGAGGAACAGTGGCCACCTCTGCTTCCCAAGGCACAGCCCCACGAGCCCCTCTTACCCCATCCCACAGCAGTGTCCCTGTGGTCACAGGAGCCCAACCAGATGGGATACAACCCGAGCAGCTTCTCTGAGCTTCCTGCACCTTGGCCTGTCCAGGGCCTCACTCTCCAGCTCAGTTGCTGGCCTCCCATTCAGCCCATGAGGCTGGCACTGTTGTTCCCTCGCCCCCCAGGGGAGTCTGCCCTCTGCCCTCAGGGCTGGGGGTTTAACCACCAGGACAAGCCCCCTGGAAGCTGGCCAGGGGATCTCCCTTCTGCCCCTGCTCCACTGACGGGCTCAACTGGCAGAAACAGGCAGCTCAGGCCCCTGGTTCCTGGCTCAAGCAAGCTGCGCATTCTGGCTTTGTGGGACAGCAAGAGTTGGAGGGGGCATCCCTTTGGGGCCTGGGAATGGGCAGTGGCCAGGCCCTGTACCATGGGCTGGTGTAATGCTGAGGGTGGGCAATGGTGCTGCAGCATCTGCCCCTGCCCTGGAGTCTTCCTGTGGGGAACTGGGCAGAGCACCAGCCTCCTCGGGGCTGGCCTCCTCTTTCGGGGACTTCTCCAGCCCACACGCCACCAGCTTCTGCACGTCTGGAAAGGGAAGCAGAGATCAATCTGGCTCAACAGGTCCCCAAGGCTGCAAGAAGTCTCTGCCTACTCCCCACCTGGAGAGGCTCCAATGGGTCAGACCCAACCGAGCCAGAGGCACAAGCCAAAGACTTGTCTGGGAGCCAAGCAGCCCTCAAGCACTGGCTGGAGCCCCTTTCCCAGCCCCAACACATAGCAGGAAGGCTCTTCCCCCCAACTCCTACAGAGAAGGCTGCCTCCCCTGGCCAGGCCTCACCGGCAAAGGTGGCTGGCAGGAAGGTAAGGAAGAGATGCTGCAGATTGATCAGCTTGGCATAGCACCGCCACTGCAGGGGGAGAAGTCCCACTGTGTCAGCCTGGGCTGCAACGTCCTCTGGCAGCTCCACGTTGCCCAGGCTCTGGGGACAAAGAGCAGCCACATGAGAATAAGGGCCTTGCTGCATGCCAGCCAGCCTTCCACAGCCTGCTGGCAGGACAACCTGGCTCGTAGCATGCGGCTGCAAGGTCACTGCTAGCTGCATGCCTGGCCCAGCACCCTCCCCCTGCTGCAGACATGGGACAGGCTATGCCAATACTCCTACTGGGAGGGTTCTGGCTTTCCCCTCCACTAAGGGTCAGATTGATGCCATATTTGGGGTCAAGAAGGAATTTTACTCCATAGTCAAATTGGTATCGACTGGGGAGGTGTTTTGCCTTCCTTTGTAGTGTGGGGTATAGCCTCTACCCAGGATCTCTTGAGCATTTATTGACAACCTTTTATAGGACACTGGCTGCTGCAGCCCCCCTGCTTTCCCTGTGGCAGGCTTGGGTGTTAGGTCTGTGTTGTGTCAGGGTTTACAATAGTTTTATGTAGAGTTTAGATGATAGATTGTCTGGACTGGTTTGGACAGGGCTGATCCTGCCTCAGGCAGGGGTTGGACTGGATGTGACCTGCGCAGGTCCCTGCCAGCCCTATGGCTATGCCTCTACGACTGACAGGAGCCAGCTGGGCCAGTGCAGCTGACCCCCAGCCCACCTTGCCCCCACCTCTCACAGCTGTGGGAGGCAGACGGTGATCATGAGTCACCAGGTCTGGCCCAGCAGTGGCTCTGAGACCCAGGCCCCAGGCTTGAGGATGGCACCAGGCTCCTCAGCAGCTGGCAGGCAGGGTTTCCAGGCTGCGGGTGCCCAGGGGCAGAATGCCAAGTGGTACCTGCAGGGTGCTAGTGGAGCCGGTCCCATCCTTGGTGCTGCTGCTGCCGCCAGCAGGGTGAAATGACATGGAGGTATCCTGCCCCTCCAAGGGTGCAGGGGCCTTCAGGGTCTCCTCTGGAAGACAGATGCATGCAGGAGACCAGGAGCGGGGCACCAAGGGGCCAGCTCAGCCTCCCGCCACCCAGCTCTGGCCCTCACCTTGGATACTGGGGAGTGTGAAGGGTGGGAGGTGGCCATCGCGGTCCCGCTGCAGCACCTGCTCCATGAAGGCCATGTGGTCAGCGCTGGCCAAGGGGACCTCACGGTCGCTGAGGTCATGCTCCAAGCAGCCATGGAAGAGGCTCAGCAGCATCTCGTTGGGCATGAACATGGGGTCCTTGGCTGCCCTGTCATCCTCTGCTCCGGAACAGAAGCCCCAGTATGATCAGAGGAAGAAATGCAGTGCTGGCCACTGCTCCAGTCCCCACCCCTGCCAGACAAGCCTCCACATAGGGCTGGACCCACCCTGCTGGCATGGCTTCTCCCAGCATCCAGTTCTTCTGCACCCACGTGCACACTCCATCTGGGCCAGGGGACAGGAAGCCCTGAGGGAGCAGAGGCCCAGGCCTGGCACCAAGGAATTGCTCCCATGCTCATGCTCCCAGTGCTGCAGCAGTTCCAGCCCCTCCCTGCAGCTGCCAGGGCACACGTCACTGTGCAGTGCCCCAGGCATGGGGCTTCTCCATGGAGGTAGGTACTTACCCCTTGTCAGCATAAGGAAGAACATCTCGATCTGCTGGCACCGGGGAAGCAGCTTCAAGAGGTTGAACTGGAAGGGGATCTCATGCACGCGGGAGCCGGCCCCCACGTCAGCATCTGTAACGAGAGCCAGGCAGAGTGCCCCTGCTATCATCTGGGGCAGCCCCAGCCACTGCCCATGTGAATGGGCACAGGCATGGGAATGGTGCAGTAGAGGCCCTGGTGGTGCCCTGAGCATAGGCTCAGAGCCATGGAATTCCTGCCCTGGCTTGGAGGACATAGGTGAGGCAGCCGGGGGGACAGGACAGAGCAAGCTGAGCCTGGGAAGGGCAGAACCTGGCAGCAAGTGCATGCTCCCTGCAGGAAGGGCCATCAACAGACTCCTTGTGCAGTGGGATCCTTGGCCTGCCCCCAGGGTGCAGAAGCCCTAACAGGCACTCCCAGCTCCCATTCCCAGGCTTGCTGGCAGAACAATTAGCCCCAGCTCAGCCGGGACCCAACATCAACAGGGCTAGACCCCACGGCAAGGACACAGCCCTCCACAAAGCCCAATGGTCAGGTGCCTGTGGGAAGTGCCAAGCACAGCTGAGCTGTGCTTTCCCAAGACTTGGGGCCTCACAGGCAGGGCTGGCTCAGTTCTCAGGGAGAGCTCCCCTCCCCACTAGTCCTTTGCCACTCCCCAGGGAGACAAGTCAGCAGCAGCTTTACACTCCAGGTAGAGTTCCCTGGTCCTCATCCTACCCAGAGCCCCCAGGCAACAGGCCTGCTGGCTCCCCCTAGGCGCTGTTCCCCCTCCAAGCACTAGAGGATGCCCCAAACCTGACCATCAGCTGCACTGCCAGCTGCAACACCAGCCAGGAGCAGGGACAGAGGATGCACCTCCCCTGCTGTACTTGTGGAGCCCCGAGCAAGGATAGGAGGGAACGTGCTTCTGAGGACTTCTGTACGTGGACTTCAGCAAGGCTTCTGACAAGGTCCATTTGACTTTCTCATAAACAAACTGGAGAAATGTGAGCAGGGCAAAACTACTAGAAGGTGAACAGATAACTAGCTCAGTAGCCACAAGCAAAGGGTAATCATTAATGGGTCCATGTCAGAGGGGCAGAAGGTTTTGAGCGGAGTCCCACAGGGGTCTGTCCTAGGGCTAGGGCTAGGGCTAGGGCTGGGGCTAGTCAATGCGTTTATTAATGATTTGGATGCTGGTACAGAGAACTTCTGGAGCAAGTCTGTGGATGACGTGAAATTGGAAAGGATTGTGGAGGATCTGGATGCAGTTCAGAAGGATCTTAATAGGCTGGAAAGCTGGGCTGGAGCTAATGGGATGACGTCCACTGTGGACAAAAGCGAGGGGCTGCCCCTTGGGAGGAATAATAAAAACAAATATAAAATGGGTGGCGG